TCAGATTAGAAAGGAGGGTAACAGGAAAGTGACACCACTAAACAGAAAGGATTTAGTAATTAAAACAGTTTGCTTGGGTCCTGGGTACACTGACTTAATTGTGGAGAAATGCAAAGTGACAGTCCATTTGGGATTTAAAATCAATCAATTAATTAATTTTTAAAAAGATTTTATTTATTCATGAGAGACACAGAGAGAAAGAGAGAGGCAGAGACACAGGCAGAGGGAGAAGCAGGCTCCATGTAGGGAGCCCAATGTGGGACTCGATCCCAGGTCTCCAGGATCAGCGGCGCTAAACTGCTGAGCCACTCGGGTTGCCCTGGAATTTAAAATTTGCCCACATGAAAAAGGCGTATTAAAAAAAAAGAAAAAGAAAAAGGCGTATTTAAAAAGTGCATAAGGTATTATATATTAAATGATAAGCAAATTTCATTTAAATGATCAAAGGACTCTTTGGAAAGGCTATGCAAAGAAGAGAAATTAATTTGGGCCAGGTTTTGGAATTGAGGAGGCATTGATTAACAGAGAAGAGCAGAAAGTATCTTTTTTTTTAAAAAAAAAAAAAGTTATTATTTCTTTTTTCATGAGAGACGCAGAGAGAGAGAGATAGAGAGAAAGGCAGAGACACAGGCAGAGGGAGAAGCAGGCTCCATGCAGGGAGCCTGAAATGGGACTCAATACCGGATCTCCAGGATCAGGCCCTGGGCTGAAGGTGGCGCTAAACCGCTGAGCCACCTGGGTTGCCCTGAAAGTATCTACGTGCTAGTTTCTCCTCTCCAGTGGAGTTAGTAGCTTAAGGTTGGTTGTTGTTCCTTACTATATTTCTAGCTTCCGAGACTGGACAGACTACAGGACAATTCCAGACACGGACAGCAGAGGGTGTAGGTGTCTGGCCACAGTGGCAGGGCCAGCAGCCTCATCATCGGTCGAGTTCTAATGAGCAACATGTTCAACAGCCATCAGCACAGCAACCTGGCCAGCCTGAGGTCTTCCAGGTGAGAGGGTGAAAATCAGACTTCAGAAAATCAGAAACTGGTAGAGAAAGGGTCAGAGAACAGAGATAGAGAAGGGAATATGCATGTGGCCTGAGGTGTTGGGAGTATGTGGGATAAGACAGAGTGGGCACATACAGGGATAAATGTCATTAACTGGAACTTACTGTGTGATGCACAGTCTTTAACCAGACCATCTTTAGTTATGTGAAGCAACGTGAGAAGATGTTAAAGGGAATCCTTTTAGCCCATTCAGGGAGGCCACATCCCCACTGTACAGTAGCTTGGGTATAAACATACTGATTATAGCTATAAGAGCCCATTTACCTAAGTCCTGAGGGGACTGAAAAAGCACATAGAATAATCTTAGGACAAGAGAAGAGCTTGTTTAAAACACAGGTTGAAAGAAAGCAAAACAGATTTGGTAGGAAACAAATACGGTAAGAGATAATTCCATATGTGTTTGTGGGGAGTATATGAAATGTGGCAAGCAGATTTTTCTCTTTTTGAAAAATATAAAAGACTAGAAAAGAGGAAAAATGTGGAACTGTAGGAGGAAACCAGAGAAGGGACTAGGAACCAAAGTTGTCAACTAAAGGAGTCAAGGAGTTTCTGGGAGTAGGGAAGGCTTAGGGAGCTCAGCCCCACAGAAACTGTGTGGGGTCAGGAGTGATGCTTTAGGGGAATTCTAGGAAGAAGCTCGCTAAATGTGAGGGATTAAGGTGTGTGACTAGACTTGCTCTGTTTCTCTTATTAGGAGATGCTGTCCATGCTGGGAGACCAGAGCAACAGCTACAACAATGAAGAATTTCCTGACCTAACTATGTTTCCCTCCTTTTCAGAATAGAACTTTTGGGGTGAGGATAAGGGGTGGGGGAGAAAAATCACTGTTTGTTTTTAAAAAGCAAATCTTTCTGTAAAGAGAATAAAAGTCCCTCTCCCTTCCCTTCCCTCACCCCTAATGTGTACCCCCCTTCCTTTTGGCCTTTTCTTGCCCTTCTGCCTCTGAGATAACATTTATAGGAGAAATGGGGTGAATCTTGAAGGCTTTAGGGATCCTTTGAAAAACTGAGGCTGGGTAAAGTTAAGAATGCCTTTCCTTATGTCTTTCTGATTTGTGCAGAAATGATTTGTGCTAGGGTCAAGAGGCAGGTTAGAGAACATGACACCCACTATTTGCCTTCAATACTGTGGCTTGTTTTTGGAAAGAAATTCTGAATAAGGTGGGGGAGAAGAGAAATGTCCTCATATTTGAGGACCATGAAACATGGTAGGTATGTATAGGGCTTTAGGAAGTAAGCATAATAAGCTCTTTCTGCTGCCTGGTGAGCGAGGAAGTTGAGAGAGGGAGAGGGAGAAAGAGAGAGAGAGAGAGAGTGTGTGTGTGTGTGTTTGTGTGTGTGTGCGCGCGCACACACATATATATCCACACGTGTGTTTCTGTGTTTGTTTCTCCCTATTAGGGAGTTATGCAAAATTTGTCCCAGATTTTATCTTTGTTTTTCTGTATATTCTTCAAAGAGTCCTAAGGAGTTAAATCTTCTATGTATTTTCCACTTAGTATTGCAGCCAAAGAGTATTTAAATAAATGTCTTTGCTGCACTTACATCTATGCCCAGCCAGTATGCAACTGTAAGCAGATATATATAGTCTTCTGTTGATGTGGTTGGTTTCTTATCAAACGTATTTAGTGATAAAGCTGGGTCAGTCCCACTTTTGGTGCTCTCACCTTATATGGAAGATCTGCAAATATTACAGATGTTTAGGGTGGGAAGATAAACCCCTTTCAAAAACCCCATACTTGGCCATACTTGCTGCATTTTTCTGTCAGAATCACATATGATGTGTGTTCTGTAGAGGTTATTTCTGCATGGAAACTCAACTTCTTGGATTAGCAGTCCCAGTGAAATCTTCACTGCTGGAGTTCAAACCAAATACCAAACCTTCTTGCAAAGTAGCCTCTTTCATTCCATTCTCAATTCAGTCTGGTTAGAAATTGAGATTTAGGTCTTTTCTGGACCTATAGTTCTCACCTTTTGCTCCTTCCAATCTTAAGATTGGATTTTTCTTTATGATGCAAGAGAATAAATCCATGTGATAGATGGAGCCTAGACTCCATTCCTTACAGGGTCACTGAGTTAACTATAGCCATATAAATGCAGATACCGGTTACTACTCTCACTCTTTACCTTCCTCAGGTAACAGTCATGTGTATCAGCCCCCCCCCCCCTTTTTTCTTTTTGATTGGCTCAGGCCAGTATCTTAAGTGAAAGACTGAATTAAATAAGGAGAAGACATATTAAACATAGCCATTGGAGACTGAGGAGCACAGATGGCCTTAGGAGAGGCTGAGAGAGCATCATTACTGGGTGTCTCTCCCTTTTGTCTCCAGTCTGGTGCCAGGTAGTGGAGTTGAAAAGGAGACTATTTTTTTATTCTATGTGCACACATACCATATACATATATATTTATATCACAATTTAAGAAACCAAAAAGTTGAGTTTCCAATGGAATCCTTGTTTTTTAATAATTGACTGTTTTTAAATGTGATCAGGACTATAATATTGTACAGTTATAGGGCTTTTGGGGAAGGAGAAGGGAGGGAAAAGATGCTCTGGGGGTTTTGTTTTTGCTTTTCCTTCAGGGTTTTATTTTTGATTGTTTTGTTTTTTTCTTGTTGGCCGTTTCTGTACTGCTGGCATCTATGCTGAGCTTTACAGTGGCAAAAATAATGATATGTAGCAAAGATTTTAAAACAAAATATTTTTTCCTTTTGTAAACTTTGTTGTGTTGTGTGGTCTTGATTGCGGCTTTATTATTCCTTTCCAGCTCATAAACAACAAATATCCACAACTAGTTGAATCCATAGTCCATAGTTTGAACACCAGATATGCAAACATAAGGCACAGTGTGTCTATAATTTCAGGATTCAGAAATCATAGGGCTCTGATCACTCAGCACTCCTTGGTTGTCCTCCTGATCCTGACTCATTCTGAGTAAAATCAGCAGAGACATCTGACCATGAGACGGGGGTTGGGGAAATGCCCAAGTCCTCCAGAGCAGAGATGAGATTTGAGACCAATAAAGCACATCAGATTCCTTGCCCTAGTATCCCCTGCTCTTCTGGATGAAAAGGATATATGAATGAGGAAATTTAAACCGTTTGGGTCTGGACTTGGTTTCTTTCTAGGACCATGTGGTTCACTAAGAAATCTTGAAATTTACAGGCAGGCATAAACCTATATTCTTGAGGGTCTTATGTGTGCAGTCCAGCTAGAAATTGAATCTGCCCCTGTGTATAAGGACTGTCTTTTTCTCTTCCCCCATCTCTATTTGTGGAAGAAAATGGGAGTTTGGGGATGTGGTTTAGGGACTGAACTAGACTCTTATGATCTGTCACATGCCTAGATGTTGTTGGAATCATTTGGAGAAGCGCACATGACTGGTCTTGGATCAGGGATTTTAATAATTGAAACAGATAATGTTCAGGCATCCCACCATCTGAGAATTAGAGCAACAAAGAAGTCACATGTCAGTGCTTATGGCATTGATTCAAGTGAAGTCATTAATTAGGAATGCTGTTTTTGGTTACTTTTAGAACAAGTTTCATCTGGACATTTGGGCATATCCTTCCTCAGCAAAACTGTATTAAGCTGGGAGAGCTATTGATCACTTTTAGCCAACAAGCTTATAAACTACTAGTGATTTAGAGCCCATGGCTTCCTACATACTCTTTTCTAGTCTTGTATTTATTCCCTCATCCTTGCTGTGAGGGTCAGACACAAACTTGAAAACTAAGGTTTCAAAGTTGGGAGAGATGGCTGATAACAGGAAAAGGACAGGAGAAGATGTAATCCCCAATATAATAAATACTATATAATAAAGAAGGATGGGGGAGACCAGGACTGTGTCCTGTTAACCATCAAAGTGAAGGTAAGCTCCAATACAACAATGTGTATTGAAGTCTTTTTTTTTTTTTTTATTGCCCTCAAAGACAGTCATATGAAACTAAATACCTAGCAGCTCTCCATCCTGGCGCACACACTCCACACACACACACAGACACACACACACACACACACACACAAGCATTGCAAATCCACTGCCTCTCCCTCTCCAACCCTGCTTCTCTCAGCATTTCTTTCCCCGCCTCCCTTTCCTATTCAAAATTTCCAGCCCACAGCTGAAACTGACTTCCGCAATCCTGATGGAATAAATCCAGTACCCCTAGTCATCCGCCCACATTATCCACACTCCCCAGCAAACGGAACCCAGAGCACAGATCCTGTCAGCAGGTAACATTTTCTACTTGCTAGATCTTTTAGCTTCTCATTTCTTCTTTTCTCCATTTTAGGGATATAAGGGATGTCATGACTTGGGCATCTAGTTAAGATTTGTAGGTTGTGTGGGTAAAAACAGCCTTAGGTCATTTCCTGGCCAAATAAAATTTGCCTGGAAATCTTTAGGATTCCTTCTACGATTTATATGTTTGTATACATAGTTGTTAGTGAAAGCTAGAGATATAGTAGAGATACAGGGAATCCTTTGGCTATCCCTTAAAGAATGCCCCCCCCCCCCCGTAGGGTTTTCTGTTTTGGCCAAAGGTACCAAAAGGGTTAATTTACTAGCAGGGAGAAGGACTGGTGCCCAGAGGTGCTTTTCTACTCTGTCTCAAAGCCCGTAACATTCCAGATATGAAATGTCTTATTGAATGTTTTGCCAGTCTGCAAAGATTACACAAAAAATAGGACTGTAAATTTAAAAATGATGCAAGCTGTATGACTTGCTTCAGACTGTAAATTGTTCTTAAAATGGAGAACATGGAATTAAGCAAGCCACCTTAAATGAGTGAAGCTAGAGTAAACGGAAAAGCTGTGAATTTAATGATCATAGAAGACTGCTGTTTTTGTCTTGCATTCTTCTAACAAGCTTTGGTTCTGAAGCTTTTCATCCTGTGAGGCAGTCAGAGGTTTTTTGTTGTCAGGAAAAGAAAGAAAAACTTTGCTGCCAACATCATCTGGTTGAGATTAGGGGCAGTTTCCTGCCTGAGGGAGCAGGAAGAGAAAGGAGGAAGAGATGCATAATACTAAGGAGACCGTAAACATTAGAAAGTAAGAAATACTGTCAACTTTTCTCCATCCTCTTCTGGCGAGATCTGGGAAAGTATCAGAATTTGGGGCAAGGGGGTAAATAATACCTTAAAGAAATGGTCAGGGAACAAAACTTGGCTGGAGATCTCTCCTGTATTCTCCTACCCCCCTCCAACTTCCAAGTCTGCACAGAAGACAGGTGCTGATTCCATTCTGATTGTCCATTTTCTACCCCATTTCTGGTTTTCTGTGCAAGTGTGGGGTGTATTTGTGTGTGTTGAATCTCCCTAGGTCAAAATACGTGGAACCAGATGTATCAGCACCTAATCCAAACCCAGATCCTTCCTATCATTGTTTTATATGCAAATCACGCTCAATTCTTTGTATTCCTTCCTTATAAATCCTTGTTTTAATTTGCCTCGTGGTCCCAAGGAAGGGGTGCTTTGGGTTCATGAATTCCCCAGAAATATTGTGTGTGCATGCATTTTTCAGGTGAGTGGAACTGTAATGGATTACAAAATTTTACTAGCTTCTCAAAGGAGTCTATGACTCCCAAAAGTTAAGAACCACCTGTTTGGGAATATGGCTTCAGCTATTTCCTCATCCCAAGCCAGTCTATGAACCCTTTGGCAAACGGAAGACTCTCCCCTAATTATCTCCTTCCCCAGGATGTGGGGGCTTGAGGTTCTACTGCTGCTGCCCATGGCAAGCTTTGCTCTATATCCTGAGGAGATACTGGACACCCAATGGGAGCTTTGGAAGAAGACCTACAGGAAGCAGTATAATAGCAAGGTGCCTGGGGACTGGGTGGGGAGCATGGTCGGGGAACTTGAGACCTCCAGCCTTTAGCTTCCAGACTCCCTTCTTCAATCCCCATACCTTAATCAGTCCAGCCAAGCAAACCTGCCCCGGTTCTCTAACTCAACATGCAGTTTCATTCCTACTCTTTGACTCACCCTCCCTCAAGTTCAAGCCTTTTCTTTATAACTGTCATACTTCTCTTTGGGGAAGACTTCTCAGATTAATGTTATTCATCCATGAGCAATTTTCTATACGTCTCTCCAGAGCTTGTCATTCTATTTTTGTATTTGTGTATTTCTTTCTGTATGCTCTCAATAATACTATGGCCAGTTCTCCAACTAGACTATAAACCCTGCATGATTGTTTGATCTTTTCTTCTAAAAACCTCCACAGTGTTACTTATGTAACTAACTTTGTACACAGGACACAGTCCACCAGTACTGACTATGCTCTGTTTAGGTGGATGAACTCTCTCGGCGTTTAATTTGGGAAAAAAACTTGAAGCATATTTCTATCCATAATCTTGAAGCCTCTCTTGGTGTCCATACATATGAACTGGCCATGAACCACTTGGGTGACATGGTGAGTTGAACCTCAGCTCCTGGCCTACTTGCCCTGTTTGCCTTAGTTAGTTCTCTGCTTATGCCTTGCCTTTTTGTTTTTTGTCACAGACCAGTGAAGAGGTGGTTCAGAAGATGACTGGACTCAAAGTACCCCCCTCTCACTCCCGCAGTAATGATACCCTCTATATCCCAGACTGGGAAAGCAGAGCCCCAGACTCCGTTGATTATCGAAAGAAAGGATATGTTACTCCTGTCAAGAACCAGGTATTTTCCTTTCTCTTGGCATGACCTCTTTCCACTTCTTTGTTCTTAAGGTAGGAGGGAACTAGAAAGATAGGGCAAGAAATTAAAGGCTCTCTCCCAATGCTAAGAGAATATAGCTTATTCTGTTATTTTTGTACATTTATATTGTTTTGTACATTTATATTGTACATTAATACTTTTTTCAAGTATTGCTGTAAGCACCCTTGTGTGTATGTTTTCATGTACATGTGCAAATATTTATGCAAAATAAATCCTAAAATTGGAACCGCACAGAGAATCCTTTCCAAAATTTTTTTTTACAATCTTAACATTTATACCAGCAGGAGAATGCCACTTTTACCTCCACCGTAACAATGCTGATTATATCAACCAGATCAATAACTGATTTAATATTCATTCAACAAACACATCTTTTTAAAAACCTACCAAGTATAGTGCTAGGCAATGGAGATTCAGGATGACTAAGACATAATCTGTGTCCTCAAGAAACCTTAGTCCTAAAAAATGGAACACAAAAGAAAGAAAAATGTATAATCTAGCTGAACAAACAGTAATAGCACTTTTTGAGAAATTGTTGTGTGTCAGAAACTTAGAAATCCTTTACATGAATTAACTTTTTAAATCTCCTTTATCCATAATTGAGTACATTATTATCCACATTTACAGATAAGGCACAGAGAGGTTTAATAACTTACCCAAGGTCACATATCTTGTAGGTTGCAATGTGAGTACTCTGCTTCACAGCAGCTAATGGTAATAATGGTAACCACAGTTATCCATGCAAACAATAACAATAGAACAATATAACCTAGCAAATGAAGGGAAATAGGAAGATTTCACAGAAAAGGGGACAAGGGTGTTTCATCGGGCAGTTTAGAGGAAAGGAACAAAAAGTGTGAACAGCAGTGACTAACAGTTGCTCTGTTATGCCTATTAGGGTCAGTGTGGTTCCTGTTGGGCTTTTAGCTCTGTGGGTGCCCTGGAGGGCCAACTCAAGAAGAAAACTGGCAAACTCTTAAATCTGAGTCCCCAGAACCTGGTGGACTGTGTCTCCGAGAATGATGGCTGTGGAGGAGGCTACATGACCAATGCCTTCCAGTATGTGCAGAAGAACCGGGGCATTGACTCTGAAGATGCCTACCCATATGTGGGACAGGTGAGACTGCCCTGTGCAGTTATACAGCTCAGAAATGGCTCCTCTTCCCCCAACATGATATTTTGTACTGGAAACAATTCCAAAAATATTTTTTTCTATTCCCCTTATCCTGCCTTCTTGATAGGATAATTTACCATAGGAGGCCAAGAAGATTCCCACAGCCCGGGAGATTTGGGGGACTTAGGCCACCATAACCCTATTGTCTCTTTCCCTGGAGAAAACAGAGTACAGGTGACCCCACAGACATCTTAGTAGGCCTCTGCAACCTCCCACTCAGCTCCTCCACTCCCATCGCAGATCCCAAACCAGCCACTTTAATTTACTGAATCATGTGCCTTTATTTTGCATGATTTCAGCATGAGTCTGGGGAATGTTTATGCAAATTGTGTAAGCTAGCATTCAGACATACACAAAATGAGAGAAAAAATAAGTTGCTTCATACTTGTTTTAACTTTAGAGATTAATTTACTTCCTCCTTTAGTAATAGGAAGGAGACCTTTCTTAACTAAAATAAGATCCTTTATATACATGGGCTTGGTAATATAGCATTGGGCCTTTGCAACAGGAACCTTTGAAGCAGGGATAGCAAGTTTGAGTAATAAGAATCATGGCTACAGGGCACCTGGGTGGCCCAGTCAGTTAGCCATCTGACTTTGGCTCACGTCATGATCTTGGGGTCCTGGGATTGAGCCCTGTGTCAGGCTCCATGCTCAGTGGGAAGTCTCCTTGTCCCTCTGCTCCTACCCCTGCTCATCCTCTTTCTGTCACTCATTCTCTCTCTCAAATAGATAAAATCTTAAAAAAAAAAAAAAAAAAGAATGATGGCTATTATGTACTAAGCCATGTACTTAGTTCATTTTCTCATTTAATCTTCATAACAGAAGATAAGGTAAGCTTATCTTTATCTTATAGGTGAAGAAATTGACACTGAAGGAGATAAAATAGCATGCTCAAATTCATACCACTCATCATGTAGCAGTGCCAAGATTTATCTACTGTATCTGTTCATCTGTCATAAACATTTCCAGCACGTCTTCTATGCAAATGTGCAAAATTTTCTATAGACTATAGAAAATTCTAGATAGAATTTCTATAGAAATTTCTAGACTATAATACCTTGGAACAGAAGAGCCTTATGGTACATGCATCTTTAACTTTTAAATAATGACAAATTGTTTACCAAAGTGTTTGGAGATATATTCCCACCTGAAGTATTTAAGAATTCCCATCTTCATCAGTATGTTTATCTAGCCATCTGCATTTCTTCTTAAGTGAATTGACTGAATTGACTGTTTATTTCTTTTTTTTTTTTTAATTTTTATTTATTTATGACAATCACACAGATAGAGAGAGAGAGGCAGAGACACAGGCAGAGGGAGAAGCAGGCTCCATGCACCGGGAGCCCGACGCGGGATTCGATCCCGGGTCTCCAGGATCGCGCCCTGGGCCAAAGGCAGGCGCCAAACCGCTGCGCCACCCAGGGATCCCTGACTGTTTATTTCTTTTGCACATTTTTAATTAGGTTGTTTTTCTCCTCACTATTTTTAGGAATTTTTTTTTTTAAGATTTATTTATTTATTTTTGTTTATGATAGACACAGAGAGAGAGAGAAAGAGGCAGAGACACAGGAGGAGGGAGAAGCAGGCTCCATGCCGGGAACCTGACGTGGGACTTGATCCCAGGACTCCAGGATCGCGCCCTGGGCCAAAGGCAGGCGCCAAACCGTTGAGCCACCCAGGGATCCCCTATTTTTAGGAATTTTAAAAAGATATCTGGATACTAATACTGTATGTATTAGGTGAACATATGTCTTTTTATTCTTTTTATATCTTTCAACTCAGGAAAGTTCATAATTTCAGACTAGTAAAATTATTGTTTTCCTTTGTAATTTGTGCCTTTAAAAAAAAATCCAGTCAAATGCTGCCATTATCGTTAATAGTTAGGTAATATGTTCTGATAGATTCAACTTTAGGGTTTTGAAGGGATAGTCTGTAGGAAAATGAATTGCCAAAAAGAATACTACACCACCTTGATGTGGTTTGCCAATGAATTCTATTATTGTTAACTAGACCTCCATAATGTTGGAAATTCACATGCTAAGTTGCTAAGTTCTTTATTAATATGTTTTAATGTCATGTTATGTGCTTTCAAGAGCACAAGCCAAAACTCATATCCCCTGTCATATGGCTATAGGGCCCAGGTCTTCCCTCTAGCCAGACCTCAAGCCTCCTCCCTACCCAGCCCTCTACGGCCTACACCTACTACATGACCAGAAGATGATCTGTGCTTTTAAAAAACACCTTGTTCCAGAAATCTCTCTCTACCCCAAGGGAATAAAAAATGTTCTCTGTCTCAAGTTTTACAATGTTTCCTTTCACGTTTATGTTTTAAAACCACCCAGAGCTGATTTTTGCATATGTGCAAGGTATCCAATTTTCATTTTCTTTTTTTATAATTGTCTAAAATGGGGGCAGCCTGGGTGGCTCAGCGGTTTAGTGCTGCCTTCAGCCCAGGGCCTGATCCTGGAGACCCGGGATCGAGTTCCGCATCGGGTTCCCTGCATGGAGCCTGCTTCTCCTTCTGACTCTCTCTCTCTGTGTCTCTCGCGAGTAAATAAATACAATCTTTAAAAAAAAAAAAAAAATATATATATATATATATATATATATATATATATATATATATATATATAATTGTCTAAAATGGTAAGGAGAGAACAGACCCTCTCTAAAGACTCTAGGTCTGTCTGTTCACCAACATCTCTCAAAGTATTGGTGGAGTTTCTCACTCCCTAGTTCCTGGCCTGCTGTTTTGTCCTCATCCTGTTTTAGCCTCCTTTTTTCCAGGATGAAAGTTGTATGTACAACCCAACAGGCAAGGCAGCTAAGTGCAGAGGGTACAGAGAGATCCCTGAGGGTAATGAGAAAGCCCTGAAGAGGGCAGTGGCCCGAGTGGGACCCATCTCTGTGGCCATTGATGCAAGCCTGACCTCTTTCCAGTTTTACAGCAAAGGTAAGGAGCTGTTCCTAAAGAACACAATCAGCTATTTCTTATGATGTTAGCTTTGCAGCTTCTCAAAGGCTACTGAGCATTTGCCGTACTTGGGTTTCCACATTCAGACTGAGTCTGCCCAAGGGAAAGGGAACAACAGCTGCCACAGTGCAGTGCATCTCTGTCACCGATCCTCCTGACAGGGCAGGTTTCTATAGGGTGGCACGTGGACTGCAGAAAGCTTCACCTTGAGAGTTTGTTTCCTAGGTGTGTACTACGATGAAAACTGTAATAGCGATAATCTGAACCATGCAGTTTTGGCAGTGGGATATGGCATCCAGAAAGGAAACAAGCACTGGATAATTAAAAACAGGTAATGATGGGGATACTAAGTTTGGCACTCAATCCCCCTATTAGCACTCAACTTCAACTCCAACTTCCCAATATTTCTTTCTCTCTCTTCAAGAGAAAGTCATCTCAAACTTTTTAGTTCTCCCTTCCCAATCAGAGGCTATTAGTTCTAACATTTCATGGCCAGACAGTAGTACTCAGAGTATGTGTTGGGCAGCTGCCCCACATGCAAGGTACTTAGCTGTATAGCAATGAACAGAATGTTTGCCTTTGGTGATCTCACAGCCCCTTAAGAAAGACAGACCTAACTAACCAGAACATACAATAGCACCAAGAAACCAGCAGGAAGTTTGGAATTACATAGTTTTTTCTTTCTTTTTTCTATAATGTGATCAATATCTTAGGAAGCTTTCCATCATCAGTCTGTTTGTGAGCAGTAGGGAACCAATGTAAAGATTTATATCCAGTTGTGCAACTTTTTGCCCATCCAGATATACTTAGGATAACATATATAAAAATTGGCCAAAGATTTTGAAGGCTGTGAAGAGAAACACTTTTTGGGAAGTAGATAAGACAACAACAACAATTAGTGTTTCCTTCCCTATTACTGGGAGTAAATAAAACCTACAGGGTTCTTTGGCTCCCCTTTTGTGACTTTGGAGGGTAGACTTAATGAGAATTATACTTTTCCTTTCCTCATCGGCCAATACCAGCCTGGCAACAGCACTAACTAAACTCTCTGTCCTTGGTGCCTTCAGTGGACAGGAGTCTTAGACTCTGAGGAGTTCACAGGCCAGGATAGTGCTATAAGCAAGTTGTGCTGCTGTCTAGAGGACTGGCAGGGTAGAATGTGTAGATCACAGTCCCAACTAAGGCTGAACCCAAACACCTTTCTAAAAAGGTACTCCTTCTCCCACAGTTTCTGTCCTATGTTCTCCCTTTGTCGACTCCCAGCCCCAAGTACTTACTCCTTTCCTGGTCAGGTGCCAGAGGTGGAACATGATCTAGGAGAGCTGGGAGGAATAAGGGACACACTTAAGCAGGGTCAGGATCACTGGACACCCCTAGAGAAGGGAATAGGAGTGGGGTAATGGTGTTAAACAAAATGTATTGGGTAACTGGAGAATTTGCTGTTTGAGGGAAAAGGACAGAAAACTCATGGAAACTATTTAGGAAGATACATAGACCAATCTCCTCTCCCACACCCCATTGTCTTCTATTCTCTCCACTTCTTTCCTCAGCAGTCTCATTCATTCTCGTAGCTTCATTCATTTCTCCTTTTGGGTTTACCCAGTAAGACCAAGATCACCAGCTTCAGCCTCTCTTACTTCTTTCTTATGCTCTAGATTCATGATTTCAAGATTATTCTTCCTTAAACACAAGTTGGACCATATTACATTCCCAATCTGAAACTTTCAGTCTCTCCTCCACTAAGATGGACCACAGAATTGAACTCTTTAGGCTGGCAGTAAAGATAATTCAACCTGATCTCAATATACCTTTCCAGGCATATGTCCTACTGTACCCTGTCAAGCACGCTATTTTTCAGTCACCTAATCTTAACACATGTCCCATGCTTTCCTGCCTTTAGTATTTCATACTCCTCTGCTGGCATCCCATTTGCATGTGTCTATCTAGTCTTTGGGCTCACTTCAAATGCTGCCTCTTGCATTAAGCCTTTTTTGATTCCTTGATCACCGCAGTCTCCCCTGTCCTTGAGGCCTCTAGCATTATGCCTTCTCTCCTTTCCTTTACTTTAAATGCTTTAAAGGTAAAAACTGTTTTATTCATTTTTTATACCATCAGTACCTAGCACAATAGTAAGTGTTTTAATGAATAAATAAACTTAGGGTACTAAGTATTTTCCTTCATTGGTCCTACAGCTGGGGAGAAAACTGGGGAAACAAAGGCTATATCCTCATGGCTCGGAATAAGAACAACGCTTGCGGCATTGCCAACCTGGCCAGCTTCCCCAAGATGTGACTTCAGCCAGCCAACCTCATCCTGCTTTTCCATTCCTTCCGTGATGGAGCAGCATACTGATGTACTTTGGGAGAGAGTCAGTGTGCCTTTTCTGAAGCAGTTGTAGCAATATAGAGATTGTCCACTCAGTTTCCCTGTTTGTGCTTCAAGTAACACCCCTACTACTTGCCTTCTCTCTACCCAAGGCCTTTATTTTTCACTGTGCCCACAGTAGGAATTTCCCTAACAGGATGCATTCTTAGGCTAAGAGATATGCCCACAGCCTGACCAGACTGTTGTCCTGAGGCTGATGCTATGCGGAGAGTCAGAGGCTAGAGATCTTCAGACAGATTCTCATTCACAGTGACTAGTTAGCTTTAACCACCTACAGGACTAAGGTGACCTGACCTCTCCAAGTTCACTTCTATATCCTGAAAATAGAAATTTCTATTTTTTCCACCCCAATTAATTAATCTATTCATAAATCTTTGGTACAAGTTCGTGTGATACAAGAAATGTGTTTTCTTCTTTGCATTTTTACAGTAAACTAAGTATCTCTTGTCTCTAATTTAATAAATACCTATTTAGTAAACATTCATTTTGTGTCAGATACTGTGCTAGGTGCTAGAGACAGAAAGATGAAAAAAAAAACATATATTTGGGGTGCCTGCCTGGCTTAGTTGGAGGAGTTTGCAACTCTTGATTAGGGTTGTGAGTTCGAGCCTCACGTTGGGTGTAGAGAGATTACTTAAATAAATAAAACTTTAAAGCAAAACAAAAAACAAAAAATATATATATTTCTTATATAGATGTTTTCCTAAGTGCTTGGAGAGACTCACATAAACAGTTTATCCTAATTCATTTATTTGTTCATTTCTTCAACCAAAATTTATAATGTGCTTACTATGTACTAAGAGCTTTCTAAATTTCAGGGATTCTATGGATATAAGGAGACTTCAATATTTAATTCTATCTGTAGGGGAGCCAGATTAAGTGACACATAAACCTGGGTCTTGAAAATTATCTTAAGGCCCTTTCTGAGGTTCTACAACCTAAACATTTGCTGTCATCAGGAAAGGAAACTAAAACTCTTTATAATGGCTTCCAAGCAGTATTAACTTTAAAAGAACGTGGCTGGCTAATAATAATAATAAGTCAGCGCAACCAGTTTTGCCATTTTTCACAAAATGTTTATTGAGAACCTATTATCACCACTAGAAAGAGTTCACATTTATTCAATATCAAGCATCAGGTACTATTTTATTTCATTCTATACAAAAAATATCCTGTGATAAGCAGTTTATTTAAGGGTAGGAGGGTAAAACAGATTAGTAAGATATAGCTCTGACTTCCAGAATGTTACAGACTAGTGAAGACATATAAACAACTAATAATACCACCTATAATGAAATAAAGACTAATTATGCAAACTCAGGAATAAATCATTAATTCTTTTTTTCTTTTTTAAAGGTTTATTTATTTATTTATTTATTTATTTATTTATTCAGAGAGAGCAAGAGAGAGGCAGAGACAGGCAGAGGGAGAAGCAGGCTCCATGCAGGAAGCCTGACATGGGACTCGATCCTGGGTCTCCAGGATCACACCCTGGGCTGCAGGCGGCACTAAACCACTGCGCTACTGGGGCTGCCCTAAATCATTAATTCTTAATGGGGTTTTAGGTGAGGCTTCATTGAAAACAGAGCTTTGAAAGATCTGAATGGGCAGAAAAGATGGATGTGGGGATAGGGTAGAGGGAGGGAGGGAATATCAGGCAGAATAATTTGGGTGAACAGAGATGCCTAGAATGCTGAGGGAATGGTGAGGGCTGGTGTAACCCAAGGATAGGGTGCAAAGGCATCTATACTGAGGTGAGCAAAGTGGATTAGAGTTAAATCCTGGAAGGCCCTGAATGTCTTCCATGTCTCAAGTTTGTAATTTATTTTATTGATTCATAGGCATTTAGTAGGCATCAAATATTTTTTGAGCAGGAGACAGACATGATCAGATCTTATTTTAGCAACATCCCTCTGGCAGGCAGTGTTGTAAAGAACAAATAACAGATGGAGAACAAAATGGAGATGTAAGAAACTGGAGAAAAATTAACATTTAGGAGAACTGTACATACTCTGCTTCTTCCCAAAGAAAGAATACTTGCACAGGAGAATGACTCCTGAACTTTTTTGAGTTTGGCAGATGGGAAGGTGGGGAAAGGTGTTCCAGACTCAAAGAATAGCATATTCAAATGTGTAGGCATGAGAGAGAAATTTCAGCAATCTGCAAATAGTTTTTGTTGAGCTCTGAAAGTGCCAAAGATGACCTTGAGAGCTGTCTGATTCCCCACTGAGCAAATCTACACAGTTCTATTTTTTTAAAAATATAGATTATTTATTTATTTATTCATAGAGATGCAGAGAGAGAGAGAGAGGCAGAGACACAGGCAGAGGGATGGGACTCGATCCAGGGTCTCCAGGATCACGCCCTGGGCTACAGGCGGCGCTAAACCGCTGCGCCACCGGGGCTACCCTACACAGTTCTATTAATTTGATCTGGTATTTTTTTCCTTCTACCTAAAGAACATCTTTTAAAATTTCCTTTTGTATAGATATATGGACAACAAATTTACTTTTTTCCTGTATGTATTTGAATTAATATCTAGATTTTCTAGTCTGGTACATTAATATGTATATCTACACTTGACCAGTATCATACATTTATACTATATTTTCACATCTAATGAGTTCGTCTTCCCCTTATCATCTGCCTTTTCTAGAATTATTCCTGAATATTCTTGCTTTTTACTTTTTCCATGTGCTCTTTAGAATCAGCTTGTCAATTTATCAAAAATCCTGCTAGTATTTTTTAGATCACATTAAATTTATATCTTAATTAGGGAAAACCAAACTCTTTATACTGGTGAATCTTCCTATCTAAGAATAAAGGATACCTTTATATTTTTTCAAGTACTCTTTTGTGCCCTTAAAGATATTGCTGATTTCTTGCTAATCTTTTTTGCAACCTGAGGTGTTTACCTCTTACTATTATTATTTTTGCAGGGTTTTTTAAAAAATTTTTGCAGTTTAAATGGAGTCTTTTCCAACATAATTTCTAATTAGATATATACCTGAAAACTCTTGATTTCTGTTATGTTAGTTTTTGTACTCAGGTACCTTAAATTCTTTTTGTTTACACGTTTTTCAGTTGATTCTCTTGTTGGGTTTTTTTGAGTCTACAAGTATATCATCCTCAAAGGTAAATTTTATCTCTTTCTGATTTTTACCTCTAATTTCTTACTTGTATGTTTGCATTAGAAAAAACTTCTAAAATGATGCTAGAGTTGATAGATCCTGACCTAGAAGTGTTATTATTTTTATAGATGTGTGAAAATTCCAAGATTAACTAAACCACAATAAATCAAAATTTATATTCCCAGTATTCTCAGTTTAAAAAAAAGACTGCAATTAATGATTGATATTTTAACACAAAAAAGTTTGAAAGTGATCATACAATTAAATCTGTCGTGGGGCACCTGGGTGGCTCAGTAGTTGAGCATCTGCTTTTGGCTCAGGTCATGATCCTGGGGTCCTGGATTTGAGTCCCATATCAGGCTCCCTGCATGGATACTGCTTTTCCCTCTGCCTATGTCTCTGCCTATCTCTGTGTCTCTCATGAATAAATAAAATCTTAAAAAAAAAGACATATCTGTCATATTTTTTATTTCACAATAACAATATTAACTAACATTTATTAAACTTTACTAGGCAGCTCATGCATGTTAAATGCTTTACACATAGTGCCCCCCGCTTTTTTTTTTAAGATTTTATTTATTCGTTCATGAGAGACACACAGAGAGAGGCAGAGCCACAGACAGAGGGTGAAGCAGGCTCCATGCAGGAAGCCCGATGCAGGACTCAATCCTGGAACCCCAGTCTCACACCCTGGGCTGAAAGCAGGCACCAAACTGCTGAACCACCCAGGCGTCCCACACATAGTACCCTTTTTATTAGCATTTTACAGATGTCAAATAGCTTGTGCAAGAAAGCTAGCTAGTAAATGGCTAGCCGGGACTCAAACCCAGATCTTTTGTTTTTCTGTCTTCTCTTATACATTTTATTATTATTTTTAACTATATTATGGAGGGGTGCCTGGGTGGCTCAGTCGGTTAAGTGTCTGTCTTTGGCTCAAGTCATGAATACCAGAGTCCTGGGATCAAGCCCCCCATTGGACTCCCTGCTCCCCCAGGTGTCTGCTTCTCCCTCTGCCTCTCCCCCTTCTCATGCTCACTCTCTCTCTTTCTGTCAAATAAAATCTTTTTTGAAAAAAAAAAACTTTGTTATGGAACATTTTAAACATCTACAAAAAGAGTAGCAGAGTGAAGCCTCAAGTACCAATTATCCATCCTGAACAATTATCAATATTTTCCAATCTTATGTCATCCATTACTTATTTATTTGTTTGTTTGTTTGTTTTTACTCTTCCATTTTTTAAAAGCAAACTCCAGGTATTTTACTCATAGTCATTATATATCTCTGAGGATTTTTAAAAATATAATCATCATGTCATTAGCATGTCCAACAAAATTAACAATTATTTCTTACTGTCATCTACTCTTCAGTCTATGTTTAAATTTTTCCAGTTGTTTAAAGGGTGTCTTTTTACTGTTAGTTTATTCAAATCAGTATCTAAACAGTTTTACACATTGCACTTAATTGTTAAGTGTATTGTATTCTTTTTATTTTATTATTATTTTTTAATTTATGATAGCAGAGAGAGAGAGAGAGAGAGAGGCAGAGACACAGGCAGAGGGAGAAGCAGGCTCCATGCACCGGGAGCCTGATGTGGGACTCGATCCCGGGTTTCCAGGATCACGCCCTGGGCCAAAGGCAGGTGCCAAACCGCTACGCCACCCAGGGATCCCAAGTGTACTGTATTCTTTAACAGTCACATCCCTACCAGCACTCCCCCAAACACACATACTTTTTTTTTTTTTCTTATAATTGATTTCATGGAGAAGCCAGATCTTTTCCCCAGTAGAATGTCTCATACTCTAGATTTGGGTGATTGCTTGCTCTTTCTGAATCTAGGGTCCTAGTACTCTTAACCACTGCAGTATACCCTGTTTCTTACTATCCTTCATAGATGTTGTGACAAGGAAATGAAAACTTACAAGTTACAACCCATTAAACGTTTAGTGCACAGATATTCCAGAGATCCTGGCAGTTGTATTCTTTTACAGTACATATCCTTTTGGCTGAATGTTCATGCTTTTCTGCTCTTGAAAAGCCTTTATGAGTCATTGATAGGCTTCATAATACTTGTAAGCTAAGTTTGTCCAAGGACTTCAAGAACCTAGTTCTTCACTTTGGGTGAAACCTAAGCCTAAAGGCTTGACAATTAGTAAAAGTAGAAAAGTCTAAGGAATTAACTAAAAAAACTATTAAAACTAATAAATGAGCTCAGTAAAATTTCAAGGTACAAGATCAATATACAGAACTTAATTTTATTTCTATGCAGTAGCAATGAACAAACAAATTGAAATCAAGAAAGTATGTCATTTACAATGGCATCAAAAGGAATAAAATACTTAGGAACAAATCTAAG